AACCAATACAAAATATAAATCGATTTAAAATACATTAAGAGGAGTAAAATGTTGTTCCAACAAAATATCATTAAAAATATAAATGTTTACCCTTTTTAAATATATTAGAGATATGTAATAATTAATTTAGTTTGTCTAGGATAGATTTTCCTTAAAATCTCAATGATTTGTTTATCTTTGTTATGTTAAAGTCATTCTGTTGTTAATTCTCTTCTTTTTCAAATACATTAAAGTAATTAAAATTCCATCAAGGTACAACAACTAGGACAATTTAAATACATGACCACTGACCACTTTTTATGATACTTTTTTTTAATCTCATATCTGATCGGTTAATGAAAATGGCTTCTTTCTGAACCATCGGGGTTTAAGGTTTCGAATTTACACATTTAATTAGCCAGTAAGTAAACCATCATCTCAATTCTTACAAGGAACGTTTTATTTAAGTGGAATTACATATTGTGGATTTTGTTTCTTGTAAAAGAAGGGCCCCTAACATCTGTGATAAGTTCGACCTCTCCATGCTTCTCTAAAATCACATACCAATAGTGTTATTTTATTTTAGGCCTTTATTTATCATTTACTGTAATTATCTAATGAATAATTATTTATCTAATAACTTAGTGGGTCTTTTGTTGAACTGAAATATTACCTAAAACACATATGTTAGCGACATGCATAGGAATCTCAATTTAATAATAATAATAAATTTCCTTTATTTGCTTGTAATATACAATGCACATAAACATCATGAGGCAAAGTCTAGCTTGCGCTACTCAACTTAACCTCAACATAAATATAAATTTAAAATAATCAAAAGGTATCCATCATTTACAATATAAAAAAAAAATAAGAAATTTAATATACAATTAATTTATGATTAAAAAATGTTAACCCTGTATTTAATCTAAACTGAAATCAATGGAACTTAAAATACAATTAAATAAGGAAAAATGTTTGAAATTAATAATATATTAACGTTAGCACTGTATTCATTGCTCAACTAATAGCAACGTTTTATAATTTTGTTTTAAAAATGTCAGAGAACATGTCCTAATTTCCCTAGGTAGACTGTTATATATTGAAATGCGTTATATGTGAAAGATCTTTTGAAAAATGATAATCGGTAATCCGGAATCGTTAAGTTGTGTGGATATCTCAAATGTAAACTGTGCAGATCTTTCCGATATATCAATTTATTTTTTAAGTATATGGGAGTTGAGGTTAAAAGAATTTGAAATACCGTGGCCGCCATCTGATATTTAAATAAATTTCCTATATTGAGCCAGCTAAGTTCTTTAATTTTATTTGATATTCTATCATACTTTCTGATACCAAATACAAAACGACAACAACAATTTTGAATCTTTTGAAGTCTGTATTTGGTTATTTGATCCAAACAAGGATAGTTAATTAAAAGTCCATAATTTAGGATGGACAATACAAGACTTTCACAAAGCAACTTACGTAATTTGAAACTCAAAATACCTCGATTCCTGTATAATTGACGAATAACCAGATACGATTTTTTGACTAGGAGCGAAACATAGTCCTGCAGTCATAAATAATGCCTAAGTTTTTGGCACTTCTACAAGATTTTAGAGGTTCATTTTGAATGAATAACTTAAGGTTCTGTTGCACATTATGTTCTATATTTTTAGGACAAAATAATATTGTATGACATTTACTGGCATTTAGTTTAAGGTTATGAATTATAGAAAATGTATATACTGCATTTAGATCTGAATTCATGTTTTGCGAGGCTATATCTACTTCACATTTAAATAGCTGCAATTCACTTGCAGCCCCTTGCTGATGCTTTGGCGCCTCCAGGAGCCATCATTAGTTATTACCGCATCCTGAACGATCACCAGTTTGATTGCAGTAAGATTTATAACTTCTCAGCCACAAGTAAGGACTATCTTTTTCTATTTCTCCAGATTTGGAAGTAGTAAATATAAACTATAGCAGATAAACTTGAAAAATTAAATTTGTAAACTCACCTGTGCACCTTCTAGTACTAAAAAATGGGACCAGAAGATAAATTGTATCGTATCATTAATACCATCAACACATTAACAGCTTTAATAACCATTTGTAGGGGATTATAAACCACAGGGTAAATTGTGCATGAGCTAAAAGAGATATTATATCAAATCACAGTTAGATATACTTTTATTAATCCCTTCACTCTCCGAATCATTAAATTTTAAGAGCCAGCTAGGGAAAAAGGAATTACTGTCACCACTTACATCCTTGGATAGGCCAGTAATGTGGCAAGTTAGTTTTGTATATCTCTTTCGTATTTATAAGTAAAATGTAACTGGACATTCGGTTAAATGTTAATCTTCTCGTTTACGTTTATCTACCATTATTTGTTTTTATTGTAGTTGAACCATTTTGTATTAGGGTTGCCACCTTTTCATTTCACAAAAACCGGACCTGTGTGAAATTTCTAAAAAAAAGTGCTTAGCTTATAATTTTATAAACAAAGTCCTTCTGTCGAGCTTCCAAAAAAAAAGAGGTCCTCATTTTATAATTTCATAAACCAAGTCCTTCTATCTAGCTTCTAAAAAAGTTATCAGATATTCCCGGACATTTTTATAATTTTATAAACCAGCTCCAGGCTCTTATGTCGAAAACTTCACAAAAATTATGATCCAAATATTCCCGGACATTTTGATCAAATTTACAACAGGCATTGTAATCTAAAACGAAGAAAATGGTTCAGAAAACAGTTTTCTATTTTATAGAGGATACTTACCAATTCTACTCAAATGTTTAAATAATAATTATAAAATAAATTCTGCAAGTTAAAAAAAACAAACATGACATATGACAAGAAAAATTGACAAGTGATAATTGACATAAACGTTCCGAATCAGATTGTGATGTTCACAGTACTTCTTGTGTATACTTTTTTAGCAAATTACTTTATTACGTTGTGTTGACATAACAGGTAGGTTAACTAGGTAAATTACAAATAGAAGTTTTTCGAGGTTTTGATTTCCCTCAACATTTTCTCATGAACGTTGCATTTACGTTGTATATAGTAATGTTATTACGTTTCCTTAATGCAACATCGCCGAAAGGCTTGGCAACGTTATGTGCTAGCTGGGAAGGGGCGTTTGTTAAGTCAAATTTGATAATATTCCTCCTGAACTGGCAAATTATGTAAACGACATAACATTACACTTTTTTGCATTTAAAGGTAATTTATTTACAATGCACCATTTACTCAAGCGATCGATATTGTGTTGTAATTTTTGAGTCGGTTATGTTTTTAATTTCTGAAAATAATTTGAGATCATCGACATATAAAAGATGTAGTACGTCAAGATCATATACAACATCATTAATAAAAAGTACAAATAACAATGGTCCTAAAACGGAGCTTTCAGGAACGCCGGAAGTTTGAATGTACTTCAAGGATTTATATCCGAAACATTGAACATAGAAATAGCGATTACACAAATACGACTGAAAGAGATTTAATAAAGAATTATTAACACCAAATGCAGATAGCTTGGATAGTAAAATTGTGTGGTCGATTTTATCAAATGCTTTGGAGAAGTCTGTGTAGACAACATCTACATCTCCTATCAATAGCTTCAGATATAAATTGAGTTAAACAAAATAATGTTGTCACTGTAAAACGACCAGAATTAAAGCCATGTTGAGATGGAGTTATAATTTCACGGCATTGAAACGAAAGATAATTATGTACTACTATTTCAAACACTTTCGAGAATTTATTCAAGATTGTAACTGGACGATAATTTAATATGTCATTTTTATTGCCATTTTTAAAAACAGGACATATTCTGGCCAACTTCCAGATATCTGGAAAGTCCGAAGTTTTAATTGAATCTTTTAAGATTGATGAAATTGTGTTGGTTTCTAATGATGTATTTATAATATTAACTAAAGGCATTGTAATATCATCAAAAAAAAAAATTTCATTCATTTGTATCGTCAGGACTTCTTCGAAAATAAATTATTTTTTTTTCTATGCCGAAAATAATTTCCTTTGATGCATAAATATCAATTAATTTAAAGCCTTTTAAATAGACATTTTCAGTTCTAGATTCTATAGGAAAGTTGAGACCAGAATATTTTATATTACTTTTTCCTTGATGCTATTAACATAATAGGCCGGTTCCAATAACGATCAGAAAGCAGCCATTGACACCGGAATTCTGCGCAGTAAATTATTAAATTATATACTGCTCAGAATGCTGGTGCCAATGACTGGTTTCGGATCGTTGTTGACCTAATATTTGTTTAAAACATTGGACATTTCATAGATGTTTTTTACAACTTGTTTTTCACTCACCTCAACCTGTTTCAAAATAATGTTTTTACTGTTCTCAGGAACGATTTCCTGCATTACCTTCTACAATTTAATAGAGTTGTGTATGTTACCCACAATTTGTTGTTCATAGTATTTAGTTTTTTTAATTTCTCATTACTTTTGAATGCTACATTTCCTTTATTTGTCTCTGGATTCTGTTCAGTTTCATTTTAAACATTGCGTTGTGTCATCTCTATCTTTAACAGCATTTTTAACCGCTTCATTCCACCAATTCTTATATTGGAAAAAGATTTTAATATTTTATCAGCGCAACTTCGTCCAATACATTCACAAGCTTTAAATTAAAAATATTGTATGATCTGATTTATGGCAAGTCTGTAACTCTTTTTAACTGCAGCTAATTTTTCATTAATTTTATAGTAATTAATGTTTCTACCGCGGCTTTAAGATGTATCGGCATAGCGTGCCCATGCTAACTTCATTGATATTAACTGTAGATGATAATAAAATAATTATGTTAGCAAGATATTTCCAAAATCATTACACTCTAATTATAAATGAAACACCGTATGCTTGAATTGTCTTGTATTACGAATATTCCTTGAATTATATTTTTTATATTATCATGTTTAAATTTTGCAAATTCGAAAGACTGATTAAATCATTTTTGTATGATTCGTTTTAGGTTTCTCATCCAGCTGCATCTTTAACAACATCTTCATTGAATTCTCAAACCCAACTGTCTGTCTTAAAGAATACTTTACAACCTCCGAATGTGAGAACTTCGCAGAATTACATCCCGCATGGCGATTCGGATAGTTCAGAAAGCTCTTCTCCTGTTAGTGCCACTAATCATAGCAATAATTCATTGAATGAGGTAATAAAAATAATCATGAACTATAATAATAATAATAATAATAATAATAATAATGTTGTTGTTAACCTGCTAATTCTATTAATTTCATTTGCGTTTCGGAATGGTTACAATCACTGCCTTTTATAAATATAATAGTTTAATAATAATATAATTTACATTTAGATTTACAAGTTTTTACTTAATTTAATATTTAATATAATGTACTCTATATTTTGGATTTAATCACATCAATGTGTAAAAATAAAAATTATTTACGGAATAGTGATATAGGTCATTCACTGAATTTACACCCATATCGGATTAAGAAATAAATGAAAGATTTGACTGGTCAGTTGTATTTTAAACATTTACTCATGGGTGGCGTTATTTTGTGTATTGCTAGGGGTTCTTATAGAAACAAAATAAATATAAATTTTAGGTATTTAATTTTGCCTCAAAAAGCTTATAAGAGATAGTTACATGATTTTGTTGTTTAATAATAGTTTTTTCAGAACAAAAATTAATTTACATGTACAGTTTTACCCTGCGATTAAGTACGATAATAACATAACTTTTAAAATTCTATATTAAACAGTGATTATTATAAATAATTGTCTTTTAACATACCTATAAATCTTCAGCATCACTCTCAAAATTTGTGTCACTAGCGTCGCTGTCATCATTAAGGGATATAATCATAGGGTTAATTTCGTTTATCCTGTTTTCACGTGCCCACCAGTCGTCAATTAATTTATCACATTTTTGACAAATTTCTGGGGTTGATGTATCAAGTGATTGTTTCCATATTTTTCTTACTGCTTCGTCGCTGTAACCATTAATTTCAATATGATTGTCATAATACGTTTTACATATACTCCAAATGAGTTCGATGGGGTTAAACTGACAATGGTACGGTCCCAGTATATATACCAATCAGTATTGGCACTCTGAGGCGGCACGTTTGATCTTTAAAAGTAGAAATTTTAGTTGACACTTGACGTTTTCGGGATATGAAAAGTTTTCTTTACACGGACTTGGTATACCTGGTTAGTTGAATTTTTGTTCTGCTGCTTTTCAAATTTGTGTGTATGAGCGAGATGTGAGATACCTTTATAGACAACGGTTGAACAACTTAATTACTTTGAAGAAGAAAATAGATTAGATATCAGGGCAGTCTTCGCAAATGTGAGAAGGCAGAACCGTTTTAAATTTTTTTTATATATGTGAAATATTACTTTTTAGTGAAAAGTTTAATTACTTTTAGTTCAAAATATAACGTTAGCTTGTCAAGGAAAATATATAACACACAAGGTTAGAGTAATAAAATAGAGGTTTTGCTTTATTTCTTAAGAATTACTCTAATCTAAAACTTTTCTATGTTGTAGAAATTTATTCTATACGTTATTTAGGTACTTACTGCAAAATCTATAGGAAAGTATGTAGTTTTAAATATAAAAATTTATAATGGAGACATATTTAGTGTAGTTTTTTTTACAAATATATACTCAGTGACTTGTTTTAGTGAATGAGTTCAAGTATGGCAGACTAAAATCGTTACTTTTTATTATGAATTTATTTAAAAAACTTGTAATAAAAATATTAAAGTTATGTTTATTGGCCATTTACTACACACAGCAAATTCATAGACACTATACATATCGCACTATTTGACATTCTTATTAAACTCATTAATTTAAAATTAACTTTAAACTGAGTGACTACACACAGAATTGTTTGAAAGCAGCCATAAGGTATAATTTATTTATTGGATACTATAAAAAATTAATAGTAGTTACATGTAGAGTTAAGTAACAAGAACTTTAAAAACAAAACAAACCTTTATATCTAGTAAACTTAATTTAGTACAGTCCTCAACTTTCTTAGGCTAACATTAAAGATATCTATTTGGACCTCGCTAAAAAACTCATTGGTAATAACCATTATCTTGTTAAAAGGAGATATACTACTTGGATCTAAACTAAATAATTTTTTGTTACTTGGGATTCTTAGATTAATCTTTGCCACATTAAAATTTATATAGTCAATCAAATCACAATTTTTGTACTTAACATTATTTAAAATAGAGTACAAAATATATCACAGCCTGTTACTTTCTTCTTTGTAAAAGAGATTTAATCTTAAAACTATCGAGCATAGTGTTATATGTGATCTTATAAGGGTACAAGTATTTTTTATGGCATAAGGGTACGGTAAAAATATTTTTTGTACTTTTTCACTATGATCAATATGTGTGGCTTTCAAGGGCATCCATATTTGTGAAACATACTCAAGATGGGGTCTTAGTAAGGCATTATATAATCTGATTTTGGTGGTAATTCTAAAAATTTTTTCTATTTCTGATTTAAAAACTCAAAGCTTTTATTGTTTTTTTAGTTATGTGTAAGAAATGGTTATTAAACTTCAAATTAGACTGAAAGACAACTCCAAAATCATTTACTTCATATTCACGATTTAATGTGACATCACAGGTCTTGTGTCTAATGTAAAAAATTAAGAGGCTACGGATCCTTACAACTTAAAATATGCATATGTTTGTAAGTGTTAAATGGACGGATAAAAAGTGTTGTTTTTATTTACAACTATAATAAGAAAGATATTATTTTGGATACCTGATAATCAATAAACAATATATTTTTTGGAGTAGTAACAGATTTATTAATACACAACTACTATTTTGTTACAAATATTTATATTATAAGATTTATAATTAACATAATAGTTGATATAAGTCCTTTAAAAATAATATATTTTGATTTAATTGTTGAATTTATACATGAGCAATTTTCCTTGTAGCGTTGTTTACATTTTGCAGAAAACCATTGTATTCTGCTTTTAGCTGATGAATCATGTACATATAAACGGGTTGAATGTAGACAATGTTAATGTTTTTGCTACTACTGCTGGCTAGGAATGCTGGGCTGGGACACCAACACAAAAAAAACGAAGCACAAAGCACTAGATCAGTTTCTATCACCTATACACTTACAATTTACAACAACCATTCAAGGAACTAGCATGTTGGAAATACTTTACGAAAACATTAAACATAAGTCAGTCGAATGCAATGTATTTTCTTCTTATAAGACATCTTTTTAGCTTGATTACTTCTAGTTACTCTATTTATTCCAATGTCCTCAAATAAAACGAGCAATAATACGTAACAATAAGGATAAAACACACACTAAAGTGTATTTGGGGTATTTTTGATCTAAATTCACTATCAAAACAACAAATTTTCCGTTTTTAAGCTGTGAATGTATTACAAAAACTACTTCGATAAAATGTAAACAAAAGTTTGTATTTGTGTACGAAATATGGATTGCCTAAGCATGGTAGCGAGTTTTTAACCGGATTTATGACAAGTGATAGGTTATATCCCGAAAACGTCAGCGCAGTAAAAGCTGCGTGTCTTTTTCCCGCCCAGGGAGTGTCATGGGCCTGGTACGGTGGAAGCCGTAACACATCATGTCCATAACTATGTATTACTTGATCTACCATATAAATTTGTGGTAGTTCATGCCGTTTGGCTAAGGTTAACAACTCAGATTTAAGGACGTATTGTGGAAATGCAACATTTTCGTTACTTAGCCATTCTTGTATTTTGGCTACAGTCCAATTCTGTCTTGGCGGTTTGTTTAAAAGTTATGTGGATAGCTCGCATTATCTAACACTATAACAGACGGTTCACTTAAATTTGGTAGTAGTTTTTCATTTAACGTGGTAGTCTTCTGATTTTGATTTAGAGGAAAATATTAATCCTGCATCATCCTCAAATCCATTCTTTCCACCTGCGTGCAAGATTATGTATCGCTTTCCCTCACCATTAGGATGTTTTATTGATTTTATATTTTCATCTTGCCATATTATTTTCGTCCCACCTTTGGAAAATATCCAGGTTTCATCCAAATATATAAACGAAGCTCCATTCTCTTCTAAACGATTGTATTCTCTTAAAATATGTATTCTTTTGTGAACATTATTTTTTTCACATAAAGCTCTTCTATTATCTTCTTTCTTAAATTTGAAACCAATTTCCTTAAGCAACTTCCAAAGACTTGTTCTGCCAAATTCACCAATTTGTATTTCTCTTAAGTTAGCCAGCAATGTGTCTAAGTTGACATGTTCCTTTTTCGCACGCATTTCATACACCATATCACGAATACGAAATTTTGTCCCACCAGATATATCTGACGTTTTCAGTTTTTTGCGAGGTGTGTATAATTTTAAATCACTAATACCGAGAGCTGTACAGACGCGTTCATGCACACTCACTACTGGCTTTAAAGGTCCTCCGTTATCTTTTTCCGCCGTAAAATACTTATGTAGATTAAAAATTTAAGTCGTCTACACGTAACACGCGCTTCGGCATTTTCAGTTTCGACATACGTTCTCTTCGAAATCCAAAACTGAACTAAATAATTTAGCGTAATTAGTCCAATAACATCAGTACAAAAATAGAACATTTAATCTTAATTGTATACCTGAGAAGGGGACTTCCGGAAATTCCTGACCATAAAACGTTTATTGTATTCGGGAAAAATGGTATTACCATAAACAATGTCCAAAACAAAATTATAAATATTTTCATTTTTTCGTGTATTACTTTAGTAATTTAAATTTTAATAAACATAATTACATACTATATAAGTATTTAATAATTAAAATATATTCACCCTCTACCCACCGGAGGACTACGCTTATTTTACTCAACTACCTGATGCGAAATTATCCTGTAGACCGGCTCAGTCGTGCATCTGTTTCCTTAATCCGATATGGGTGTAAATTCAGTGAATGACCTATATTCATGCTCATGACACAAGATATATGTCAGATCTCTTTATACCTTACCAGCGTATATAAATTTGTAAGAAATCACCTAAAGTAATGGTAATTAAAAACTGATTTTATCATTAATTAAATTTCAAAATAATAATAATAAAGTTCGAAATATAAAACTAGATATGAAATAAAAATTAAAAAAAATAGTAGAAACATAAAAT